TCATCATCATCATCATCATCATCATCATCATCATCATCATCATCATCATCATCATCATCATCATCATCATCATCATCATCATCATCATCATCATCATCATCATCATCATCATCATCATCATCATCCTCATCTTCATCATCATCATCATCATCATCATCATCATCATCATCATCATCATCATCATCATCATCATCATCATCATCATCATCATCATCATCCTTTTTCTCCTCCTCCTCCTTCTTCTCCTCCATCGCGGTACCCCATCTGGGAGACCCACATTCACTGGGTTGCAATTTTTCCGCGCCGCCGTGCTGCGGGCTGCGGGCCCGAGCAGGCTCGCGCCGTGGAGGCATCTCGCGGCGGAAGGGGCGCCCCCGCAGACCCCCCGCGGAAGGTGCTCCTCGCCTACGACGCCTGGCTGCCAGCGGCGAACGGCGTGCGCCCAGAAACCCTCGAGGGCGCCACGCAACAGAGCCCTTCTGCTTGGACGACCACGACCACAAGGCCTTCTGCGCTGGCCTGAACGAGTCAGACCTAGCGAGCATTCAGCCCGAGCTGCTGCCAGGCGCAGACGGGTTCCTGGAGGCGCCGCCGAACGCGAACCTCGGGCTGCTCTTCGAACCAGAAGAGTTCGTGACTGAGCTCAAGCGCCAGCTCCTGGTGCCAGTCTACGAGTCCGAGCACCACTGCCCGTGCTGCGACGGCGTGTGCGACAGGCACGGCCGCCACTCTCTCTGCGCGGGCGCTGGGGACCGCGTGTTGCGACACAGTGCCGCGCGGAACCTGGTCGGCTGCTTCGCTTCTTCGGCCGGCTACAACCCAGAACTGGAGCGCCCAGGGCTCTTGCCGCCCCGGCCCGACAGCACTCAGGTCAACGGGCGTCGCCCTGCGGACGTGTACTTGCCACCTTGGTTACGAGGGGCACCTGCTGCTCTCGACTTTGCGGTATCTTCGCCGCATCGGCAGGCCGCCCTCGGCTCGGCTCGGCTCGGCTCGGCTTCGGGCGCGCGGCCCAGGCGCACGAAGCGACCGAGCGCGAGCACTTGGACACGGAGGCCCAGTGCAGGCGGCAGGGGATCCTGTTCGTCCTCCTGGCTGCTGAGCCGTCAGGCGGATGGGGCCCCACGGGCGCGGACGCCCTCCGCGGCCTGGTTCGGTCCAGCGACGGGCGCCTCGGAGAAGAGGCGGGCACCGGCCTGGCTCGCCATCCAACAGCTGCCCGTGGCAATTCGCAGGGCCACAGCGCGGGCAGTGCTGCGGAGGCGCACGGAGCCATCCGCCATCGGGGGCGCGCTGTCCGCCGCCCTCGACCTGCTGGCCGCTCAGAGTGGCGACGATGACGCCTCGTCGTCCTCCCCCCGCCTCCCCCGTCCTCCCCCGCCTCCGCTGCTCGGCTTGATCTTCCCCCCGCCGACGGGGATGCTGGCATTTTTCCTGTGCGCTGGCGCTCGGAGGCACCTCTCGGCCGTCCAGTTGGTTCCCCTCCGTCTCCCTCTCCTCTCTCTCTCTCTCTCTCCCTCTCCTCTCTCTCCCTCTCTCTCTCTTTCTCTTTCTCTCTCTCTCTCTCTCTCTCTTTCTCTCTCTCTTTCCTTTCCTCCCCCTGCTTGGCCCCCCCCGTCCCTCCGTCCTTCCGTCTGTCGGCCTGGTCTGTCCTTTCCTGTCGTGTTCCTCCCTCTCCCCCCCCTCTCTCGCTCCTCGGCTCCCCGCTCTCCTGTCCGTTTTTGTCCCTTGCCTGGCCCGTCTTCGTCGACCCGCCCCGCGGTCCGAAGAAGAGCTGCGGTAGCCGGGCGTTTGCTGCAACGTGAGACCAGCGCCCCTTCCCACGTCGTTTCATGCGGGGCCCCACTGGCCACTACAGTCGGCCTTGATTGGACAGGACACGCGAGAGGACACAAGACCCTTCCGAGGGCCACATCGCCACAGGAGTGCAAGAAGGCATGTGTCGCGAGGCACGGGACACAAGGGTATCCTTGAGCTGGCAGGATCGACCTGCCAATCCGGGCCGCCTGTAGTGCCCCTTCCCTGAGAAGGCGAAAACCCACCCCCACCCCCAGTCCCGACCCCATTTCCGAACCCTCGATCCGGGGGGTCGGGACTGGGGGTGGGGGTGGGTTTTCGCCTTCTCATTCCCATGTCGTTTCATGCGGGACCCAACTGGCCACTGTTGTGTGCCGCGGAGCCCAAAAGTCTGTCACGCGACGGGCAGTTTTTGGGCAGCTCTCGGCCTCTTCGGGGGCCCCTGTCGCCGCGTGCGGTCTCCGAAGAGGCCCGGGGACTCTTCGGAGGCCGCTGCTCCAGAGGCCTCCCCTGGAGCAGGGGACTCCCCTGAGCAGGGGCCCCTGGAGCAGGGGACTCCCCTGAGCAGGGGACTCCCCTGAAGCAAGAGGCCTCTGGAGCAGGGGACTCCCCTGCTCCAGAGGCCTCGGGGGGCCCCGCGCTCCCCGAGCCCCCCCTCGAGCCGGGAGCGGAGTGCGGCGGGAGGTTCTTCGCCGTCTTCGGCCTCGCGGGGCGCTTGCTGGGCCTCGGGACCGACAGACCATGGCTCGGGAAAAACTGTGCCCGGGCATGGTCTCCTCCTCCTCCTCCTCCTCCTCCTCCTCCTCCCTCCGCCTCCTCCTCCTCCTCCTCCTCCTCCTCCTCCTCCTCCTCCTCTTCCTCCTCCTCCTCCTCCTCAGGGGGCCAGGAGAGTCAGAATGCGGTGGGGCGTGGGCACAGTGAGGCGGGAGCCAGGAGAGTCGGCGGGAGGTTCTTTCTTCGCCGCCTTCGGCCTCGGAGGGGGGCCCGTATGCTTGGCCTCAAGGCCGTCAGAAGACGACGCAGGATGGGAACCTGGTCCCCGGGGTGGGGTCGAGGCCTCTGGGGGTCCACGCTATGAAAAAGAATCATGACGTCGGGGGTCTGGCCCTGCTGCGGGCCCAGGCAGGCTTGCGCCGTAGAGAGATCTCGCAGCGGAGGGAAGCTGTTTTTCCGTGGGTTCGTGGCCGCTTTACACCCCCCTAGATGGGGATACAGGCTGCTGCCTTCGAGTTTCGAGGGGCACATCCCCAACTGGGCTGGTGGGCTGGTGGGGATCTGTGGGGACAAACAACGACACACACACACACACACACGCACGCACGCACGCACGCACGCACGCACGCACGCACGCACGCACACACCACACACACACAAAACACACACACACACACACACCACAACCACGCACGCACACACGCCACGCACCGCACGCACGCACGCACCGCACGCGCACGCCGCCCGCACCCCCGCCCCCCCCCTCGCCACGCCACGCACACGCACACGCACACGCACCACGCACACGCAACACGCACACTCACACGCACACGCACACGCACACGCACAGACACACCACGCACACGCACGCACGCACACGCCCACACGCACACGCACACGCACACGCACACGCACACGCACACGCACGCGCACACCGCACACGCACACGCACACGCACACCACAGACACGCACAGACACAGACACAGACACAGACACAGACACAGGACACAAGACACAGACACAGACACAGACACACACAGACACAGACACAGACACAGACACAGACACAGACACAGCCAGACACAGACACAGACACAGACACAGACACAGACACAGACACAGACACAGACACAGACACAGACACAGACACAGACACAGACACAGACACAAACACAGACACAGACACAGACACAGACACAGACACAGACACAGACACAGACACAGACACAGACACAGACACACACACACACACACACACACACACACACACACACACACACACACACACACGCGCACATAATGAAAAAACACTCGGAGGTCCGCGCGGATTTATCGGATCGGCGCTGGACCCCCCCATCCCTGGCGCGCGAGCGCGGAGCGCACCAGGGGCGGAGCTGGAGGCGCCGCCAGAGGGCCCCAGCGCCGATCCAAGAAGTCCGCGCGGACCTCCGAGTTGTTTATGTTTGTGTCATTGTTTGCTCCCTGGTTATTTTTTCTAGATTCGGGCAAGTTAACTTACGTGGCGCCCCCTCTCCCTCCGCCGCCTGTCCCAACAGCGCTGGGCCGAGAAAGGCGTTGGGCCGAAAAGGCGTGCAGGTTTGTCCCGATTTGCGTGCAGTGCACATTGCCTTTCGGGCCTCGCCACGCCTCCCCCCCCACCCATTCCCCCTCCTACCCCTCCCCCCCGCTCCCCTCCCACTCCCCCTCCCTCTACAATTACTCAATATGGATACTACTCTCCTTCCCCTGATGGCGTCCGGGTGATAGCCGCGCACCCTCCGCGTACTGTTTTTTTACACACAAGGATGCCCGGGAAAAATCCCGGAGGAAACGACTCTCGCTGAGGCGCCGGGCGTCATTTTTCCCAAAAATGCTGCTTCGCGCCGGCATATTTTTCCCCAAATGGCTGCTCTCGTTGAGGCGCCGGCCTCATTTCTGCTCCCGAATCCTTCCCCTGATGGCGTCCGGGTGATGGCCGCGCACCCTCCGCGTACTGTTTTTTTACACACAGGATGCCCGGGAAATCCCGGGAAACGACTCTCGCTGAGGCGCCGGCGTCATTTTTTCCCAAAATGCTGCTCTCGTTGAGGCGCCGGCCTCATTTCTGCTCCCGAATCGTTCCGAATCGTGCTCCCGCTGCAGCGTGGGCCTCATTTTCGGATCGGTGTTTGGCCTCCGTCGTTCAGGATGGCGTTCTCGCCCCAGCGCGGGCCTTTTTCTCGCGCGCCCATCCGCCCGCCACCACCGCGCCGCACCGCCACCACCACCACCACCACCACCACCACCACCACCACCACCACACCACCACCAGCCACCAGCACCAGGACCAACACCACCACCACCAGCACCACCACCACACCAACAGACAACCACCACCATCACCACCACCACCACCACCACCACCACCACCACCACCAACCACCACCAGCACCAGCACCAGCACCACCACAACCACGCACACACGCACGCACGCACGCACGCACGTGCACCACCACCCACTACGCACGCGCGCGCGGAGCCACAGGTCCGCTACGACACGCGTCCGCGGATAGAGAAAATCAGCGCCATGGTAAGGGATGGGAGGGAGGGGTAGGACGTCAGATATGACGCGAGCGCACCTAGCTTGCCCCCCCCCCTCCCCCTCCCCCCCCTCCCCCTCCATGCAAGTGAACTTGCCAGAGGCTACAGAAAAACAGCCTCAATGTTCATGGCAGTTTTTGGTATCCTGGGGCCCCCGCTGGGCCCCAGGACCGCCAAGAAACTGCCCAGGATAACAAAAAATCGGCTCTGGGGAGAGTCAGGATTCTTGAGGGCCCCGCATCGAAAAAATCTGGACATCGGATGTCTGGGAAAAGCGGAAGGGCTCGGTACAGGAGGCAACTCCTGGGAGATCTTTGTGGGACCACCCGTTCAGGGCGATTGAACCAAATTGAGAAGCTATGAAGCCGGACTGACCCAAATCAGGCCAAGATTAAATCCAGAGCAAGCGGGATTAAGCCGGATTAAACAGGACTGGACCAGATCAGGACGGTTGGTTTTCAACCACGGATAAGCCAGCGCCGATGCTGAATTGAGTTTAGCCTCCCAGGAGTTGCAGCCGAGTTTCGGTGTGGTTGTGCCGAAGTTTCGGTTCGAGACACTCGGACGTTCCGTTTGTCACCCCCTTGGGGGGCTCCTCCCAAGGCCAGATCATCGCCGAAATTCTGGCCAGGACGACCCCCCCGGGACCCAGGCCTCCATTTCTTGTCCCTCCTCGTCCTACTCGTCGTCCTCGTCCTCGTACTCGTCCTCGTCATCGTCCTGCTCCTGCTCCTGCTCCTGCTCCTGCTCCTGCTGCTGCTCCTGCTCCTGCTCCTGCTCCTGCTCCTGGTCCTCCTCCTCCTCCTCCATCCTCTCCTCTCCTCCTCCTCCCACATCTCCTCTCCTCCTCCTCCTCCTCCTCCTCCTCCTCTCATCCGTCCTCCTTCTCCCTCCCTCCTCCTCCTCTCCTCCTCTCCGCCTCCTACTCCTCCTCCTCCCTCCTCCTCCTCCTCCTGCTGCGCCTCCTGGTCCATCTCCTCCTCCTCTCCTCCT